AGCGTCAGCTGAAGTGGTGTAAAGCTCGCCGCCATTGGACTCTGGAGCAGTGGAAATGCGTTCTCTGGAGTGATGAATCACGCTTCACCATCTGGCAGTCTGACAGACGAATCTGGGTTTGGCGGATGCCAGGAGAACTCTACCTGCCTGAATGCATACTGCCAATCGTAACGTTTGGTGGAGGAGGAATAATGGTCTGGAGCTGTTTTTCATGGTTCAGTCTAGGCCCCTTATCTCCAGTGAAGGGAAATCTTAATGCTACTGCATACAATTACATTCTAGGTGATTCTGTGTTTCCAACTTTGTGGCAACAGTTTGGGGAAGGCCCTTTCCTGTTTCAGCATGCCCTGACCTCAACCCCATCGAACACCTTTGGGATGAATTCGAACGCCGACTGCGAGCTAGGCCTAGTCTCCCAACATCAGTGCCCGACCTCACAAATGCTCTTGTGGCTGAATGGAAGCAAGTCCCCGCAGCAATGTTCCAACATCTATTGGAAAGCCTTCCCAGAAGAGTGGATGCTGTTATAGCAGCAAAGGGTGGACCAACTCCATTTTAATGCCCATGATTTTGTAATGAGCAGGTGTATACACACTTTTGGTATTGTAGTGTACCTTAAAAAAAAGTAGGGGCATGGATCAGAAAACCAGTCAGTATCTGGTGTGACCACCATTTGCCTCATGCAACGTGACATCTCCTTCGCATAGGAGGCTGTTGATTGTGGCCTGTGAAATGTTGTCCTACTCCTCTTCAATGGCTGTGCGAAGTGGCTAGATATTGGCGGGAACTGGAATACGGTGTCGTACACGTGGATCCAGAGCATCCCAAACATGCTCAATGGGTGTCATATCTGGTGAGTATGTAGGCCATTGAAGAACTGGGACATTTTCATCTTCCAGGAATTGTGGATAGATCCTTGCGACATGGGGCCGTGCATTATCATTCTGAAACATGAGGTGATAGCAGCGGATGAATGGCACGACAATGGGCCTAAGGATCTCTTCAGGGTATCTCTTTGCATTCAAATTGCCATCAATAAAATGCAATTGTGTTCGTTGTCCATAGCTTATTCCTGCCCATACCATAACCCCACTGCCACCATGGGGCACACTGTTCACAATGTTGGCATCAGCAAACCATAAGCCCATACGACACCATACATGCCATCTGCCCGGTACAGTTGAAACCAGGATTAATCCGTGAAGAGCACACTTCTCCAGCATGCCAGTGGCCATCGAAGGTGAGCATTTGCACACTGAAGTCGGTTACAACGTCGAAATACAGTCAGGTCAAGACCCTGGTGAGGAAGACGAGTACACAGATAAGCTTCCCTGAGATGGTTTCTGACAGTTTGTGCAGAAGTTCTTTGGTTGTGCAAACCCACAGTTTCATGAGCAGGCCTGGTGGCTGGTCTCAGACGATCCCGCAAGTGAAGAAGCTGGATGTGGAGGTCCTGGGCTGGTATGGGTACACGTGGTCTGCATTTGTGAGGCCAGTTAGGACAAACTGCCAAATTATCTAAAACAACTTTGGAGGCGGCTTATGGTAGAGAAATTAAAATTAAATTATCTGGCAACAGCTCTGGTGGACCTTCCTGCAATCAGCATGCCAATTGCATGCTCCCTCAAAACTTGAGACGTCTGTGGCATTGTGTTGTGTGACAAAACTGGCCTTTTATTGTTCCCTAGCACAAGGTGCACCTGTGTAATGATCATACTGTTTAATCAGCTTCTTTATATACCACACCTGTCAGGTGGCTGAATTATCTAGGCAAAGGAGAAATGCTCACCAACAGGGATGTAAACAAATTTGTGCACAAAATTTGAGAGAAATAAGATTTTTGTTTATTTCAGCTCATGAAACCAACACTTTACATGTTGTGTTTATGTTTTTGAGAGAGAGCAAAAGAGAGAGAGAGAGAGAGAGAGAGAGAGAGATGCAAGGTCCATGACTCAGCCCAGGCCCTGCTCTGTTGGCCTCCTTCCTCTGTTTAATGAAATCAGAGTGTGTGATTTGAGCATGGTTGTATATGGTGTAGTCCCACCCATGTTTGTTCTGCCAGCAGACTGCTCACCCTGTGAAGGTGGAGGAGGACCTCACACAGTGCTAAGCCAAAGCCACAGTGCTGCTTCCGACTTCACTGCAAGCCTGGCAGACACTTCAGGGAAACAGAGGAATTTTTTGGCCGAATTACTGTGCATGGCCAAATTAGCCCAAAGCCCGGTGAGTAATGTTCTCACTAAAGCTGTGATTAAGACAGCTGGATATCTGTCTCGATGACAAGTCTTTCTCTTCAGGGGGATGTGTGCCAGCGTACCTCCCTCTTAGTCTGGGAATTATTCAGTATTTAAGTAAGGCCTAACTCATATAATGTATGTGTTTGGGTGCCATCTTTAATTCAGTCAAGTTACCGGGCTCACAGTAATGTACTACCACTGAATATAGTAGCGCTTTTATAAAAATTGAGATGGATCTCATAATCAGCATGATTGTGAACATTACATATTTATCTCAGTAATTCTCTCCCCTGATCCTTTTCGATAAACATATCATGGCATGAACAACACTTTAGATTAACGCATAATAGTTATTCTACAACTATACACTCTCCAAGACATTTCAACATCAGTCAAATCACAAATCACTCTCCTTCACGTTTATTTTATTTCACCTTTATGTAACTAGGCAAGTCAGTTAAGAACAAGTTCTTATTTACAATGACGGCCTACCGAAAGGCAAAAGGCCTCCTGCGAGGACGGGGGCTGGGATTAAAACTAAAAATATAGGACAAAACGCACATCACGACAAGATCCAGGGATAATCCGGGGATAAATCACAGCATGTTACTGGACCTGATTCCAGACTTTTATATCCTCCCCTTTAGCCCGAGGCCTAGATGTACTGCTTCCCTTCATCTGTAATGACGATGTGAATGTTTCTGGCCAGCTCAAGGCCACATGCCAGACCACAGAGCAGAGGGACCCAGGCAGGCAGAATAATGGACATGGGGCCCATCCCAAATGGCTCCCTATTATCCTATATAGTGCACTACTTTTGACCAGAGCCCAAGTAGTGTACTGATTAGGGAATAGCGTGCCATTTGGGACTCAGCCCAAAAGAGAGATGGAACATATGCTGTGTAACAGGAGGACAGTCAGCGACATGTAATGAGTGAGTCAGTGTGGATTCTGCCCCAGAATGCCTCTGGCTGACCACTGTGTGTGTGTGCATGGGGATACCCAGTGGAGCTGTGGCTGTCTGCAGTGTGGGGAGGCTAAGGGGATCATGGTGGTTAAAGGACCTCACAGACAGACAGACAGACAGACAGAGGCCTGATGGGCGGACACAGCCAGAGGAGAGGAGACACACACAGAGATCAGAGGGTCTGGGTAGGGTGCTGTTTGCACTCTTGTGGCTTTGCCTCGCTGGGCACCCCCCAAAAACAGGCCCCAGTAGAGTTAGGGCTGTCACCAACATGGCCTGTACCACACACAGATGTCTGCACGCATAAACACACACGCACACATACACAAAGAAGCACAGAATCACACACTCAATCAACCTCCTATAGGATCAACTATAAAGGGTGATGATGTGCTTATGTTTTAGGTACATACTGTAGATGTTGCTGTATAAACCACAATTGGTGCCAGAGGAGGGGAATTTCTGTTGGCACGACCAAGGAACAACCTTCATGTTTTCATACGATTATAAAACCCACAACATACCCCCCCGTTCTCCCTCATCCCTGTTTGGTTGGGACTTTTACTGTAAATCTAGGCCTACAGTAGAGTAAACTCCTATCTCTTCATCCACTGGTCCTTTTTATACCAAACTAGCCAAACTACAAGCTGCCCGGAGTTATGGGAATCATTAAGCAGTAGAAATATGAACAATGCCAGAAATGTGTAAAACAGTCACAGACTTGACACATGCACTCAGCACTCACACAGCACAGCGCACAGACATGCCAGACCCTTCCGGCAGGGAGTTGCCCACTGTTTATTGCTTTGGCTCATCAAAACCATGCAGTCGAGATATTTCCTGTGTCTACCACCTGTGTCTTGGACCTTTTCATGTTGAGGTCAATGGTGCTTTGCCTACGTAAATGTGAAAAGAATGTATACGAGAATAATGTTTTATGAAGCAGATCATTGCAATTACAGTAATTATAATTACCAACCGCTAGAAAATATGATACACGTAAGCTAAAGGATTGTGTCAATGGCTAGTTTCACTGTTTCAAAGAGTTTCCTCTCATTTCTCATAATCCCAAATCAGAGTATAATAGATAGCAATGTAACCACATTGCATGACAATAAACCTATTCAGAGAAATTAAAAAGTTTGATTGTTTACTGAAAGTTTGACTTTTGAAGTTTACAGCATGTTTGAAGTTGACTGAAATCAATCGAAGTTTACTGGATGTTGAGTGAGGCATTCTGAGAAGGCAGTCAAAGATTTTTCCAAACTGTCAAAACACTCCACGGTGCTGGAGGGGTAAGCTATAGTGCTGGAGCAGATATGCCTGAAACGTATTAATAACAGTATAAACTCCATGATTACCATGTCTTGGAATGGAAATTGTCTTGTTTCAGGCTCTAGAATTAGAGTATGCAAGTGAAAAATAAAATACAAATTGTTTTCTTTACCCTTTATCTCTTGGAAATTCTTTCTACATTCATAAACAATTGATCAATATCATTAAATGTTTATTTTAAATACACCACCTTTTTCTGAAGAATTCAAGAGTTTTATATAGTTAACCTACATATCACGTCATCACTTTTCCCTTAATCCTTAATCTTTCAGGCAGATGATAAAAGTGTTTTCATACTATTCAACTTGTCCCAACAAGAATCTCATGCTTTGTACTATGCTATCATGTCAGGAAATCCTGTGAATGACGTCCTTTCGCTGCTTCCTGTAGGAGAAAAAAATCTGAAATGTGTGGGACAAACAGACAGGCTCAGATAGTATGTTTATCTATGTCATCGGTGGATGACCGTGAATGGGCCTGTTTTTGTTTCCATGGCAGCTGGGGCCCCAGCACTGGCCCTGGAAGTGGCGCAAACACAAACCACACTGAGCATGTTGTGCTTCGGCCGCACTGCAACTCAGAGGGAGGCGGCGGTCGGGCCCAAGACACACTCCCTGGGTGGTCTGGCCGGTGAATGTTTATGATATAACCCAACCCAATCCAACTGGCTTGTTTAAGGGAATTGGGAATGATTTACAAGAGCTGCTACAGCTAGGAAAAGGAAATCAGAGGAAATCACAGTAGAGCTTCAAGTCTGTGGCAGCCTTCTGGTTCAGGCAGGGCCTTCTCTCTATCTCTTTATTCTCATTATGACCCTAAAATAGTTATTTACATCAATACCTTTGATTGACAAAATGGTCAGTCTTTGATTGTCATGATCCAGGGCTCAGTGGATTTGCAATGGGTTATGAAGTTGTGAAGTCTTGCATCTGCATTTCCATAATTTTGCATCTAACTAATTTCCCACAGAAAGATGAAAGACCAATCTTATTAGTGACAAGTTTTTTTTCTTGTACTTTCTGAAAATAGAATGCCATGTGTGGAGTCTGTGTGTAGAGGTTGAAATTGATCTGTAAGAAAATACTAATACTCTCAAGTTGCACAGTATGCCAACATAGTAGATCTAACTTTTGGAAATAAGTTATTAAATCAATCAGTCATGGGGTCATTCCAATCAGTCTTGGAATCATTGCCCTGCATCCAGGGTGTCTATTGGATAACCATATAAAAAACATATCTGATATTTTCAAAGCACTCACATTTGTTTTGGAGGTATAGCACAGCAAGAAAATAGCATGGTCTTATAATACCTTTTATAAACATTAATTTACCATTTTAAGACACTTCCTTGGTCTGTACTTTGTGCCAGAATACTGAAAAACACATGTTCTACTAGTCACATTAATATAAGTTACATTACATGACCAAAAGTATGTGGACACCTGCTCGTCGAACATCTCCTTCCAAAATCATGGGCATTAGTTTGGAGTTGGTCCCCCCTTTGCTGCTATAACAGCCTCCACTCTTCTGGGAAGGCTTTCCACTAGATGCTGGAACATTGCTGTGGGGACTTGTTTCCATTCAGCCACAAGCGCATTAGTGAGGTCGGGCACTGATGTTGGGCGATTAGGCCTGGCTCTCAGTCGGTGTTCCAATTCATCCCAAAGGTGTTCGATGGGTTTGAGGTCAGGGCTCTGTACAGGCCAGTCAAGTTCTTCCACACCGAACTCGACAAACAATTTCTGTATGGACCTCGCTTTGTGCACTGGGGCATTGTCATGCTGAAACTGGAAAGGGCCTTCCCCAAAATGTTGCCACAAAGTTGGAAGCACAGAATCATCTAGAATGTCATTGTATGCTGTAGTGTTAAGATTTATCTTCACTGTAACTAAGGGGCCTAGCCCGAACCATGAAAAACAGCCCCAAACCATTATTCCTCCTCCACCAAACTTTACAGTTGGCACTATGCATTCGGGCAGATAGCGTTCTCCTGGCATCCGCCAAACCCAGATTCATCTGTCGGACTGACAGATGGTGAAGCATGATTCATCACTCCAAAGAACGTGTTTCCACTGCTCCACAGTCCAATGGCGGCAAGCTTTACACCACTCCAGCTGACGCTTGGCATTGCTCCTGGTGATCTTAGGCTTGTGTGCAGCTGCTCGGCCATGGAAACCCATTTCATGAAGCTCCCGACGAACAGTTCTTGTGCTAAGTTGCTTCCAGCTTCAGTTTGGAACTTGGTAGTGAGTGTTGCAACCGAGGACAGACGATTTTTACGCGCTACACGCTTCAGCACTTGCCGGTTCCGTTCTGTGAGCTTGTGTAGCCTACCACATCAAGGCTGAGTTGCTCATAGACGTTTCCACTTCACAATAACAGCACTTACAGTTGACCGGGGCAGCTCTAGCATGGCAGAAATTTGACAAACTGACTTGTTGGAAAGGTGGCATCCTATGACGGTGCCACGTTGAAAGTCACTGAGCTCTTCAGTAAGGCCATTCTACTGCCAATGTTTGTCTATGGAGATTGCATGGCTGTGTGCTTGATTTTATACACCTGTCAGCAACGGGTGTGGCTGAAATAGCCAAATCCACTAATTTGAAGGGGTGTCCACATACTTTTGTATATAGTGTATCAACAGGACCTCCTTTTGTTTTGGGGCAGACATGTGGAATATCATGATCATGTTGTAAAAAGGTAAGGGGGTTATCTCACAGAGTGTCAGTGCTATGGGTTGACTTTTATGACAGCCTTAATTTCAGCCAGAACACTTTTTTATGACGAGGGATGCCACCTGCATGTAGAAAACACCTAGTAAAGGGTGGTTGATGGGAAGGGCAATTTTTTGTAGGAGCATGTCATGTTAGCCAGGTTTGAATAATGAAGATCTTTTGTCCATGGCTTGTATACCCTCTCAGATGAATACATGCTCCTGTATTCTACACCCATTTTGAGTTACACAGCCAGTCCAAAGTTAGCCTCTCATGGGATCATCAGGGTCAGATTCTTATAAAATTTCAGACAAAGTAAAAAGTCATACTTGGATGTTATGCAGAGTTGTACTATATATTTTTTTAATTTATTTGCATGTCAAAGTTAAACACTTGAAAGTTTAAGATGAAACAAGGTTAACTGTCCCTTTTTGATAGGCTACCATAAGGTGGTTTTGAAAATATTTTTCAGGGATAAACTAATTATTTATGCCTTCCATATCATTAAAATTAAATGTGTGTTTAGCTTGTGATAAAAATGTTAATACTGTACTAGTAATATTTGTTTGTGATCGTTAAATGGGATTTTGTTGGCAAAATATCAGTGGTTCAGTTGTGTACCTCTCTATTGAGGAGGTAGACTACTACATTATATGCCAGTTGGCAAACTTTGCTCCCATCATCAACACATGATTATCCGGGTGGTCTAATAGCTGTTTTTCACCACAGTAAACATTCTTGTGTCTGAGCAGCGCTATGTCAAGGTGACCAGAAGGAGTTTCAAATGTTTTCTCATAGTTAAGTCACTGAACATTTACAAAGTTACACTGTATAAATGAAGAACAACAGCAAAGGTGCTGGACGAGAGGTAAGAAATGTCCATTTAACAGCAATGTCTGTTAGTGTTCACTCTTTTTCTCCCTCTCTCCCTTTTTCTCCCTCTCTTCAGAGTGAACTGCAGCAGCCTGTCCTGTTATTCCAATGTTTCCTCTACAGGCAGCTACCAATGAAGCTCATCTCCCGTCCAGAGAAAACAAAGCCAAGCCACATTCCCAGCGTTCAATTTGCTGTTACATCGGAGGTCTGTGAATTGGGGTTTGGGCTCTGTCTGGAGGAGCTGGGTGGCTGGTAATCTGCACTGGTGGGGGCCTCAGCCTGGCCTGGAAATTACTGGTGTGAATCCTTACAGATGTAGGATCTTAACTTGATCACTCTTTTGTTGCTGAGAATTGTCCTGCACTACAGGAAATACAAATGTATAGTGTATTTGAGTTTTAAAAAGTATTCTAAAGTTCTACTTTGAAAATTCAGACTGGATTTGCCCTTACGAAAAATGTATCAACCCCTAGAAAAATGTCCATTCATTATAATCCACATAATCATTCACATTTCGTCTTGCTGCAGGAATATTTTCCTGCTGTAGCAAACTGGCTCCAATTAATATCCTACATCTGTAGGAATGCTCTCCATGTAAAGACACACACAGTACATGTTCAGCTTTCCTTTCCTAAAAATAGATTTTTTAAATGATAAAATCATGATAATAAACTTAATAGAAACATTTAAAAACATCAACGTTTTCAAATGAGCAGGTCAACAAAATAGCAAATGAACATGGTGATAGCCTAGATAAAAATCTGTGATAGGACAGGATAAAACAGCAGAAATGTGAAAAAGCCAAAAGTGATCTCATTCTCACAAAAACAAACTACAAACATCTTGATGATGATGGTTATGATGATGATGATGGTAATGATAATGACGCTAGCGTTGTTTTTTACTGTGTAAATCCTGAATTGTTATATTCTGACCAATGACTGCAGGTAGGAACTGTATATACACCGGCTCTAGTTTTCTCCCGGACTGATTTCATCAATGGTAGCAAAGTGTCATCATACAAGCTTGCATTCCGCTAGTCAGTTTATCGAACTGTCTCTAATATTGTTTTATTATTTGACTAAAAGTTATTACAACGTATCGGTGAAGGTCTTTACATATTATAATAAGATCACGATATTTTATATCTCGGTTGAGGCTGTGTAACCTTTCAGGATTAAGAGCTCTTGGGTAGCTAGCTTGTAAACAGTGACAGTACAGCGCTGTCATTTGGGTGACAAGCGTGTTGCTGCTGAATAAACCAGTTGACGTTATCCAACAGGTAGGTCACGCATGTGATTTGCTTAATCTACTACTAGGAGTCATAACCTGACAATTTGGTATTACTTTTTGCACGTATTGAATCAATTTGTGTGCTTGCTTTGGCCGGATCACGTTTTTGGGATAATGCAAGAATTTGCTAACTGTATGGTGTCAACAAGAGAGCAAGTCTGGTTATCAGTACAATCATGTTGATGTGGTCACATAAATTGGACCCGTGTGTGTGTGTGTGTGTGTGTGTGTGTGTGTGTGTGTGTGTGTGTGTGTGTGTGTGTGTGTGTGTGTGTGTGTGTGTGTGTGTGTGTGTGTGTGTTCCAGGTGTATAACAGCAGATGGAGCTGCAGGCGGTATTGATGGCCGCTGGTGGTGGGTCTCGTATGATGGACCTGACCTACAACACCCCCAAACCTCTGCTACCTGTAGGGAACAAGCCCCTCATCTGGTACCCCCTCAACCTGCTGGAGAGAGTGGGGTTTGAAGGTAATATTCTCTACATTTATGGCTTGATCCAATCAAACCCACTTTGGTGTATTACAGTTGCACATTTTTTCATGGTTTTGTGTACTACAACAACCAGTTAGACAGCCTCACTGGTAGATGCTTCCCGTTTTCAGAATAAGAGTTGCATGTGTGTGGGCAGTATCAGTAGTTTGTAAGCAATGGCCCATTAAATGTCACTTAGAGACTGTCAATAAAAAGTACTGCTCTAGTGCTCTCAGTTGCAGAGCCATTATTTCTAAAAGGGCATATACCACCTTTACAATACCATGGCCTCCTACTCCTAGATGCGTTACATAGTATTTGTTTCACATAAGGAGGAGTTGGCCTATAGCCTAGCTAACATGTTTTTTGGTGTACGTGAGTTTAGCTAACATACTTAAACATTGCAGTTAAGACCAAGTGAATGCATGGGTACTGTAGACCTATTTACAGTGTTTATAGGTCCAGGCTGTGGTCAGTTTGCTGCCAGGCCTCACCAGTCAGGCTACATTTGGGTAATGATAAGTCAAAGGTAATTGTTGGGGGATAAATGACAGATTGTTATAGAGACTACTATTTTCCCCTCTAATCATATGCCTCAGGGCTTGATATAGGACTCCTTTCGGCCTAGTTGTAACTTTCATAGCCATCCACTGTGGTCTGGGAAAGCTGTTCTTTGCCACCTGTGTGCTTCAGTAAAGTGTACGTCAGGGCCCTCCACTGGAGTATCAATCTTCTAGAAGGTGTGGTGTGTCTGGTTAGGAGTGAGTTGGTTTTTTGAGGGATTTTTTTTTGAGTTCCTCATTATCCTTAGTGTTGAAGTAGCCTACAGTGAGGTTTTATCTTACAAAAAAAGCTCAAGCTAACTGCTATTGTTGTTAATAGGAGTCCAGTTTCACTAATTAGTGCAGACAAATAGGCTATAGGGAGTTTGCAAATGGAGATAATGTAGCGAAAGTTTACGTACTATCCCACCTGGAATACTTAGTCTAGTCAGAGCCCTTCCAGTCCCTATAGTAACTTCATGTGTGGCAGTACTTACTGTGAGAAGCCAACTAGTAAGGCCCTGCAATTAGATTTTACAAGGCTAAATAACGCAACAGTAAGCAAACTAGTTTGGATGAAACATTTATACAGTCAAGACTCCCTTACAAGACTTCCTTGCAATGTTCTCGTTGTGTATATAAATCTCTTTAGAAAATACCTCACAAGCATGGTTTCCATTTTAAGTGTAAGCACATTGTCTAATATGTTCGGTCATGGTCATCTGTCCCATTTGTTTGACTGGGTTTAGTCTTTCTAAATGTCTTTATTTGTCCTCTATAGAGGTAATTGTCATCACAACCAAAGAGGTGCAGAAGATGATCAGCACAGACCCCAAGATGAAGCTGGATGTGAAGATGAAGTTAGACGTGGTGTGTATCCAGGAGGATGCTGACATGGGCACCGCAGACGCCCTCAGACACATCCAGCAGAAAGTCAAGGTGGGTCAAATGGCACCCTGCAATTTGGGACGCATACATAGACAGTTGATCTCATAGCCAGATTGGCTGCTCTCTCTTCCACCGTATTGCCTGGATCTACTGTGGGTGCACCTGATGGATACGTCCTAACTGAGTTATGGGTGTATTACTTGAAATTTGATGTAAATCATGCATTGAAGTCAATGGGAGATTTGCTAGAAGACTTGGAGTTGGATAAACTGATTTCAAGTTGAGATTTGACTTTCAACATTAATTACAATTTAGTGTATCATCCCTAAACTTGAGATTTCAATACGCTTTTAATTACATTTTGAATAGGCTTTGTATCAATATACTGTACAGGTGTATCAATACAGACCATATTAGTGTATGTCCAACAGTCCAAGTCAACACTGTCTCATAGTAGAGCACCTCGTAGATAAAGTGGAATCAATGATTAATTGCTTTGACATTTGGGGGGCCACAGAGTCAGCTTTAGGCTCTACGGATGACTGATTATTTCAAAGAAGGAAAGGGAAAAAATGCCTGCACAAATGTTCTCACAGTGTGTCAGTATTTTTACCGGGCCATGTGGGTAGGGGGGAGGTGGGGGTGGTTCATCCAGTGAGGGAGCGAGGGTACTACTAGCCCCTGAATGAGCCTATAGAAGACAGGCGCCCCATGTTTCACCTGGACACAGTATGGAAAGACTGAGGTCAGCGAGGCTATTGAAGCAGGAGATCCTGTGTGCCGCTGGGCGACCACTGATCCGTGCGTTCCTGGCCCTGGCTAAGCGAAGGGCCTCATTTCACCTGCTGAAAACCTGCCTCCCCCATCCCTTCCCGCCAACCATTCCCCTCCCTCCCCCTCCCCTCGCTGCTCTCCAAACAGATGATGTCAGAAGCAGTCCGTTGCTGTCCAATGCACTGAGCGGATCACTGAAACCCACCCTGGTCTGTAGCATTCTGGAGCCCGTACAGGGATACATGTGGGGAATCTGGGTCTGGGATCGCTGGGACCCAGAGGGGTCTATATTCTTTTTATTTTTTGGTTGTCAAAATTAGATGATATTCAATGATTTTTGTTATGGTTTTATACTAGTTGGTATTGTAACTATATACAGTTGAAGTCGGAAGTTTACATACACTTAGGTTGGAGTCATTAAAACTCATTTTTCAACCACTCCACACATTTCTTGTTAACAAACTATAGTTTTGGCAAGTTGGTTAGGACATCTACTTTGTGCATGACACAAGTCATTTTTCCAACAATTGTTAACACACTGTATCACAATTACAGTGGGTCAGAAGTTTACATACAATAAGTTGACTGTGCCTTTAAACAGCTTGGAAAATTCCAGAAAATGATGTCATGGCTTTAGAAGCTTCTGGTAGGTGTACCTGTGGATGTATTTCAAGGCCTACTTTCAAACTCAGTGCCTCTTTGCCTGACATCATGGGAAAATCAAAAGAAATCAGACAAGACCTCAGAAGGTACCACGTTCATCTGTACAAACAATAGTACGCAAGTATAAACACCCTGGACCACGTAGCCGTCATACCGCTCAGGAAGGAGACGCATTCTGTCTCCTAGAGATTAACGTACTTTGGTGCGAAAAGTGTAAATCAATCCCAGAACAACAGCAAAGGACGTTGTGAAGATGCTGGAGGAAACAGATACAAAAGTATCTATATCCACAGTAAAACGAGTCCTATATCGACATAACCTGAAAGGCCGCTCAGCAAGGAAGAAGCCACTGCTCCAAAACCGCCATAAAAAAGCCAGACTACGGTTTGCAACTGCACATGGGGACAAAGATCGTACTTTTTGGAGAAATGTCCTCTGGTCTGATGAAACAAAAATAGAACTGTTTGGCCATAATGGAAAAAGGGGAAGGCTTGCAAGCCGACAAACACCATCCCAACCGTGAAGCACGGGGGTGGCAGCATCATGCTGTGGGGGTGCTTTGCTGCAGGAGGGACTGGTGCACTTCACAATATAGTTGGCATCATGAGGAAAGAAAATGATGTGGATATATTGAAGCAACATCTCAAGACATCAGTCAGGAAGTTAAAGCTTGGTCGCAAATGGGTCTTCCAAATGGACAATGACCCCAAGCATTCTTCCAAAGTTGTGGCAAAATGGCTTAAGGACAACAAAGTCAAGGTATTGGAGTGGCCGTCACGATGCCCTGACCTCAATCCTATAGAAAATGTGTGGGCAAAACTGAAAAAGCGTGTGCGAGCAAGGAGGCCTACAAACCTGACTCAGTTACACCAGCTCTGTCAGGAGGAATGGGCCAAAATTCACCCAACTTATTGTGGGAAGCTTGTGGAAGGCTACTCGAAACATTTGACCCAAGTTAAACAGTTTAAAGGCAATGCTACCAAATACTAATTGAGTGTATGTAAACTTTTGACCCACTGGGAATGTGATGAAAGAAATAAAAGCTGAAATAAATCATTCTCTCTACTATTATTCTGACATTTCACATTCTTAAAATAAAGTGGTGATCCTAACTGACTTAAAACAGGGAATTTTTACTAGGATTAAATGTCAGGAATTGTGAACAGCTGAGTTGTCAGGAATTGTGAAACACTGAGTTTAAATGTATTTGGGTAAGGTGTATGTAAACTTCCAACTTCAACTGTAATTATTAAGACAAGTTCAGACTTAAGAGTGAGCGTGTGGCTCATCATGAGTCCCTATTCAGACTCCCTGTTTGCGTTAAAACTTACAGTAAAGCCACATTACTAAAGCAAATACAGATCCATTGACTGTCTGGGGGCAAACAGAACCAACCGGGCTCAGCTGGCCTCCAGGGAGAGGATAGGACTGGCTCCAGCATGCTCCCTTCCTTCCCTCCCAGTGCCTCCACATGCCTTTATTCCTAATCCACCAGAGTCACGTAGATTAAAGGCATTGAATTGCACAGCACACAAACAGACACTGAGGTGATGAGAGAAGAAACCTGGCAACGGGGCTCCAAATCCCTGCATAGGAATCACTCTGTCGTCTCTCCACTCCCAGACCGCCTCCTCACACGAACACACTGCGCCTGGAGAATGATGGGTGTATCTGACTAAATACTGTTCCATTTGCCTAAAGTCACCTATTGAAAAAGGATTAGTGTCCAAGCACTTTGTGTTCGTGTGAAGCATGAACACAAACATGAAGCATTATGCCACATTGACGTTTACCCCTATTTACTTGGTTGGAGATTCTGGGGAAGAAGCAGCAGTGAGACCAGTATGTATGACACAGAGCAGCATGCTTTTCATGTGAGTGGGGACACAGGAGACATGGTTGAGTGAGAGTGGGAGGTCAGGAGTTCTTGCTATTCCCTACCATGCGCACGCACACACACACACACACACACACACACAGTTTTTGGTAGAGCTCCCCTCTGTCGTAAGTGCATACAATAGAAGAGACTACACTCTGTATAATCACAATTAGAATTAGGCTTAAATAAGTTTAAACCACTGAATCTTCGTTTTCTGATATTACATGTGTTGGAGATGAGGTATAAATTAGAATTATTATATACGAATTGTAATTTCAATGCAATTCTTACTATTGTAGGCTATTAGTAAGGTCGTTCCACCTTAAAAAGCATGAGGATTTTGACCCCCACCATCTCAGATTGTCCTGAAATATCATTTGATCTCTGAGAAATTACGCTAAATGATTGCACCCAAATGGGCCATTTTAATTTCTAGGATTCAGATCATATTCAATAAATATAGTACCCAATATCCGATACGACACAGGAATATGTTTTAGTTTGAAACGATTCGGTGCGGTTTGATTAGAGAATGAATCGATGCTATTCGATGCGATATGATTCGATGCACTAATATTTGTTGCATAAATACATTAATTTTCCATTCTGATGGTGCTCAAGAGCTGGGCCTCTGAGCAGGATCTGTCTGAGCTGACGTGTGTAAATGATGTATGTATATAGTGAGTTTGTGTTTGTGTGTAAAATATGTACTGTATGTATGTACTATGTAGGCACCTGATCTGAGCCTTAAAGGAGACTAGGCATCTATCACCTGAAATCACCATCACCCACTAATGAACTTGTCATTTTTGCAGATTAAGTGTTTGAGCTAGTAATGTAACAATATTTATCGTTACAAATGAGCTATGACATAGCCAATAAAATATACACTACCAGTCAAAAGTTTGGACACACATACTCATTCAAGGGTTTTTCTTTATTTTTACTGTTTTCTACATTGTAGAATAATAGTGAAGACATCAAAACTATGAAATAACACATATGGAATCATGTAATAACCAAAAAAGTGTTAAACAAATCCAAATATATTTTATATTTGAGATTCTTCAAATAGCCACCCTTTGCCTTGATGACAGCTTTGCACACTCTTGGCATCACTCCACTAATAAAGCCTAATATCACGCAAGCCATTTTAACACTTGAATGCTTTAGGTGCCGCGCGGATGTGCAAGATCTGGAACAGACTGCCTACCTCGCATTGGTCAGCGCGCGAAGCTGGACATAGTGAGCACTTTGACTGGGCTACTGATATTCCCTGGGGTTGTTAGGCATGCAAAATGACTTGTAGATCAATCTGTCAACACAGTTACATGCTTAGTTCGAAACTGAAGGAGAGGAAGCATCAGTTGTCATAAAAGGTTTACCATCCCCAAAATGTTGCTGTTTTAAAGCTAATTTCCTGCAATTCTACACATTTTGCCATGGCTTATGCCATGTTCTTATTATAACAAAATCAATGGGGGCACCATGCCATTACATTTCTGGACTGTTTATATTTATTTTTAGTTATTTTACCTTTATGGCAACAAATTCTTATTTACAATGACGGCCTACACCGGCCAAACTCAGACGACGCTGGGCCAATTGTGTGCCGCCCTATGGGACTCCCAATCACGGCCGGTTGATGGTAAATAATGCAAGCGACCTCAATTACTAATTTCTCTGAACAGGGGGAAAAAAACATCACCAGATACATTACATAGTAAAAATAAGCAATATTTTAAGCCAAAGCTTCATACTACACTGAACAACAATATAAACACAACATGTA